GAGCCAATTAAAAATATTGCTGATTGCAATGATGTTTTTCAATATTTTTCCAGCAAAAAAGATGTTTTTAGCCTACAATTAAACACATAACTTTATGTTTCAAATCAACTTTCTTATCATGATCAAATACAATGCAAAAATAACATTGAAAATTAAACACTTATAACAAATTAATAAACATGTGCAAAACTTTAAAACCATAATTCTCATTCAACATATAAACACAAACATTTTTTGTGCATTGTAATAATAATACGTGTTGTGCATTATTTATTTTTTTGCTTTGTTTTTTTATTTGTATTACATGACAATAAAACTGTTTCAAAATCAATCAAATGAAAATTCAGATTAGATTTTTACAATATAAACATCTAATTCATCAACTCATTGAAATTGTATGTACAAAACATGATCAAATTGTTTACCTTTGAAAAAAAACCATACATATTGAGCGAATAAGTACATACATCGCAACCAGAAGAAAACAAGTTTACTCTTTACATTTTTCAAACGATAAATAATTCATAGACTATGATTTTGTGTTATAAGCTATGTCATGTGCATACCCCAATCTTGAATAATGTAACTATTACACATACAAATATCCAAATGCATTGATTAAACTTTTCACATATCAAAAACTTAGATTTCATCATCACGCAACAAGTAAGTTTAATCCTACTTGTTATATTTAAGCTTAATAATTATAGCATAAACTCGTAGCCTGCTCATTCACAAACAAAAATAAAATGTACTCAAAATTGAGTGTTGTGATTGCATTACGATCATAGACCTCGTTATGGAGAGAAAAAGTAGAAACAATACATGTTTAAACAACAATTGCAATCCATACATTTTATTATTCACCATTGACGCCTTTGCATCATAAGAAATTTATTACAAACTTACCTTGAAAATTTCTCACTTAGCTTCATACATGTTGTTGTTGTTGGCAGCAACAATCCAAATTTACATTATTATGTGGGGATAGTGTTTCAAGATAAACAATTGGCACTTTTAATGTTATGGACGTTCCACACGCATGAACTTCAAAACAAATCCTAAACTTTTTAATTCTTCAAGTGTCGTCAATGTAAGAACTGAATGCAAATTTTAAATAGAACTTGTCTCCATTCTTTCATTCATGAAACACTATTCTTTGTAATTGTAGTATGAGTTGTGAGCATGGATTTGTGTTCAACACTATTAAACTTTTTGGAGACTAATGTGAAGTTTGCGATACACTTAGCTAATAATATTTCTGCCAAAACTTGCAAACATACCTTTTGACACAATTACAACAAAACTTACAACCTGCTTGTTTAGAGTCAAAAAAAATTTATAAAATATTCCTTGCTTGCTTGTTCACAGACAAATATATACTATAATCAAAATTGAACGTTATGATTGCATGACGATCATATACATCTGTTATGCAGAGAATAGAGCAAACTGAAGAAATATTCAAAGGAGTATAATCCATGCATTTTTTATCAAAAAAAAAAGACTACAAAATTTTTCAATTTGTTTCATAAGTGTTGATAGTGTGGCAAAGATTTAGACGTGATGACTATCTCCAGTATGTTAATTTGGATTTTGAAACATGCCGCAATTTAAGTAATTTAGACGGCCCGACATACATTTTTGTAATTTAGTCATGCGTGCACATATGCTATTTTTTTCTTGCAGTTTTGATACAATTTATACTTTGACTGAAAAACAATTTATTCCAATAATATTGATATCAACGTTTTTCTGAAATCATAAGAGTATCAAATGTAATATAATGATATAATAAATCAAAATATAATATAAATAATTCCAAATAATTTATTAAATGACTATTTGTGGCAATTTTAGCAAAAATGAAGTAAATGAATGATTTTATGTAGATCCATAAAAGACTATATTGCTTTCAAAATCTATTTTTGATATAATTTTAGTCTTTATATACAGTTTAAAGCTTCATATATATATATATATAACATGTAATATAGATTTTAAATGCATGTATATATGTGCGTTTAAAATCATAAATGTATGTGTAGTTTGAAAATTTAAAAAGTTGAATTCTTCACAATATCTGAGAAGAATTATAAACAATGTTTAAATTCTGATTCTATTGATATTTACATTTACAATTATGTTTGAAACTGTTGAAACAAGTCTTATTTTCAACAGTGTTTGCAAAGTATTTTCAAATACTTAAACAACTTGATTTTTGATAAATTAACATATGTAAGTCATCTTGTGATATTTGATTCTTATGTATTTTTTTAAAGTGTTGAAATAAATCCAAAATTTTATTAATGTAAATATTAAATTTAAAGTTATTTTATCGTGCAAATTTAATTTTTTTATATTTCATCCATTTATTCCATAATTTTGTAATTCTACGCATGCATTTTTTATCACAAAAATGTAAAATTTTAGGGTTTATTATATTACTAAGCACAAAACATGTATCATAAAATGCATGAAAGGTCTTTCAGTAATATATAAGATAATTTAATACATTTATGAATAGAAACTTCTTCAAACAATTTTAAATCTTATCTAAATGATTTGTTGAAGATAAAGAGATAGTCATTACAATGCTAATGCCAAACCATATGTTTCACTAGAATATATATATATATAATGTTCATTGTATTTTTGAAAGCTTTCCTATCTTATTCACGTATAATTCATTGCTTGACTCAATGAACGTGTACATCATTTTGTGCACATATGAGATCTTGCATATTTAAACATTTACTAAAGTCATCATGTCATACTTTTTTTCTAGGCGAGATTTTTTATTCTAACTGTAATTATCTGGATTTTTTTATACGAATATGTAAGTTTGCATCAAATAGCCAAATAACATCTAAATAAAATGTGAAGTCAACAAATATTCAGATATATTCTTTTAATAAATGAAAAAAAACATTAAAAAAAGATGAAATATGTAATCATGAAAAGAAGTATTATAAAAATTATGAATATTTCCCAAATGCTTATATACCTCAATTCATGATGCTAAACAATAAACAAACTTATATCCCTAACAAATTAATTCGTACCTACTGTGATATAAGTGCTTATGATTTACGTCAATAAAGAATGAATACTAAACATACAATCTTAACAAATATATACAAAAATGTGAATTAACAACATGCATGTACCACATTTATGTTGAAATCTATGTACATGGTTAGATATAAATCAGGTAAAAAATGATTTATCATTTAATATATTGTAAACTTTGATTTTTGTTAGTTGCAAAGTTGTATGAGGTTTGTCAATGATGCAAAATTTGAAAGCAGGTGAGCTTCTTTTTCATGATACAATTAACATAAGCATATCAACAGAAAAAAATGTGTGTTATTATTATATATCTATTTTTGTGATTGAATTTGGCTTTAAATTCAAACCTGATAATAGAATTATTAATTTTGATGTTGCTTATTATGATATTATGTACAGAAATAACTGTAATAGTGTGAAGGTAAATGTTAGACTTTAAGATTTTCCTATACACAATGTTTTCAAGGAAAGTCCAAATTATATATAATAACATATTTTCCTTTGTCTAATCTTTTATAGATCTATGTTTTGACTAACATTAACATGAGCTCACTAATTTCCCTTGTGTGATTCTCATCAATAGTTAAAAAATCACAATCTATGAAGAATATTGATCTTACATTCCATATGACTACCCAATTACTTGTTCATATATTATAATCCATCTTCACCTTGGAAAGCTATATTTTGATTTGGTTTACCTCTTTACAAATACATCTATGTGCTTAGATAACTTACTCAACTTGTATTCATCTACTCGATCATCTTTGAAAATGTATCTTTTGTATCTATGGTTTATAATTTACAATTGAACTAGCATTTAAAAAATAATAACATATTTGTTGTATGATCTTATATTTTTATCAATCTCGCATCATATGTTGAATATTAAATTGCACATAATGTTTCATATTAATGTAAGACTACTTCAAATTCTGACTTTTACCATATTTTTAATACGCACTGAGCTTATGAAGAATTAGTAGGTTATAAGTAAACTTTTGCTACGCTCATTGGAATTTGTGATGTTTTGACACTTGATTATGGATACTCTTATGGTGGTTTTAAAAGATTTTAGTAAGCCTTTGGGATGTTTGTTTGGAAGAGAGAGAATTTTTGTTTTTGAAGCTTTTTAGATCTGTTTTGAAATGTACAAAGTACATAGATGAGATATAATACAACACTATTGCAAGCAGGTATTGCATGCATGTTGTTGAGGAAGAAAAGTTTGCTTGGCGTGTTGTGCAAGGCTGGTTAGAAGAAGCAGTTTGAGAGGAATGGAGTATTTGTGAATGTCTTGCGCGGATAGTATATATTGGACGATTGGGTATTTGAATTGCGTTTATTTCAATGCTGATTTTGAACACTTATGTCCGATAATGCACAAAGATTACGCTGAGGTTGGTTTCTCAAATAATGTAGGGTGTAATAAAGTGTGATGTATATGAATATTCGGTGAATGTTTATTCGAGGATGTCGTAAGATATGTGGCGCGTATTGTTGTTTGTTCGATGTATAGAGAAAGGAGTATGATGTAAGTTGTGTGTGTACAGCTTGGGTGACAAATTCGAGAGCAATTTAATTGAGGCATGTGAGAATGGACGGAGCAATGTAAGTATGCTGAAGCCCATGGCATATTCGAAAGGCATTCATAATAGCTGAATATATGAAAATTGACATTATTTTCCACGAAGTTTCCAAGGAACGGACTGCATGGGAAGCGTCATGTAAGTCATGCAAGAAGCGGAGACTCTTCCGCGCCTTCCTCAATATTCCAATCGTCTTTGGTGTGCTGAGATCATGAACGGGTGGCCTCGTTCCTGGATAGGGGACACGTCCAGCCCGGACCCACATCCGTCGTCCCTCAGCCGAGCGGGGGCTTCGGAGTCTGCACAGAACAAATTCAATATTCAGGACAGCAGACCAGTGAGAGAGCGAGCGACGGAGCAAGCGCCGAGCGGCAAGAATTCGATACAGGCATGGATGGTATGGATGAGGGGAGGGGCTGGCGAATATCAGTCCTCCTGCCGAGCGAACTGAAACCAAGTCGCCCATGGCCCCTGAGCGCAGATTCTGTTTCAAGCATATCCACGAGCGGTGGTTACAGCGCATCGCACTCGTCGCCTATCCATGCTCCGCTTCCTGCTCCATGAATGGGGATCATTTCACAATGAGCTCCCTCGCCTTCGTAGTGTCTTGTAGTTGAGTCAGCGGCAGCTGCCGTTTACTGCTCGACAGTCCGCCCAGATTGCCGGCTACCCGTACCTTGGCTCCCAAGGCAAGAACATTAGGCACCAAGGGCACGCACATTCAAATAAGTATAGATAGAATTCGTGTGGTTACCAAGGTAGAAATTCACTCCTGCTGTTTCTTTCTTCGAGGCCCGCGTGCCTGATGGACATTCGTAGACTACTTTTGTGAAACGTTGGGCCATGTTTTGGGCCTCTTTGTACAGAGTTTGAGAGAAGGAGAGAGAGAGACACGGAGAGGGAGAGGGAGGAAAAGAAAAAATTTCGCCGTGGACTCAGCGATGGCTGCTTTGAACTCTGTGAAAACTTCCCAAATGAGCAGCGCTGTGGCTGCTGGTATATCGTCCGTGTGTGAGCTGCAGGCAACTTCTACGGGATTCTCGGCATTTCCTCTTCAGAGTTGGTCTCCTTCTCGTTGTAGGACTACAATTCGGAATGTGAGTACTATGAGTTCGACCAGGAGGTCAGCAGCAGTAGGTAGGAGGAGGTGCGTGAGGCGCCAGGCCAAATTTCAGCAATTCACTGCTGGAGAAGGCTCTGATCCTCAAAAGGGAGGCTTTGATGAATTGCCAGGTCTTGTGGAGGTCAGGGGCGAGAGTAGCGAAAGTTCCAGTGAAGACGAGAAGGAGAGGGAAGACAGGTACATTTCTTGATCTTGGCGTGACGTGGAATTTTAGCACCCGTAAATGTAAGTGGACTTCGAGCGGGCTTGTTCGGGCTTTATATTGCTGCCTTTGGATCATCTTTGGTTCTTTTCTCCTCTACCGTAGAGTGCTGGAGTGACGACATTTTCTTTGGATACACTGTATCAGCCGATAGTAACTTCCGCAACTCTAAGCTTGGCTTTCTGAGCGCGGGATTGGGCTCTTCTATTTTTCGTGCATTCGTGAAGAGTAAATTTCACCGACTACACATATACCGAGGAAGTTTTTGAACATTTGCTGTCATTGTGGGTGTTTCGCATTTCAGAGTATTGCCCGAAAATCTGGAAGGGGCCGTAATTCAATCCAGCGAATCTACCGCCTTGTACATAAATTCGGGTGGTACCAGAGCAGTAGTACGAGCCGCAATCCACTCCCCTTTACCTGCTGTTTAATTGACGATCCTGCGCTGTTTTCAATTTGCTATTTTTTGAACGACACTCCTCCGTGGTGTTAAGGTCCGTACAGGGACATAGTCTCGGCCGCGCATCTCACTCAAGACACCGTCTCTTGTTTTGGTCAAAAATCGTGAATCTTCACTATGCATTATGTTGTATATATCTTTATCATTTCCATAGGTCGAACAATAGATGGTACGAATTGGTGGCAGAGATTACGATGCAGATCCAAGATCGTATTAAGTAATTAGTACAGCTGTGACTTACGGCACGTTTTGGAATAGTATCTGATCTCGAGATCATTGCACTGCAACATTTCATTGAGGTCGGTGTGACCCAGTATGTACCTTGTACTATTTTTTCTTGATACGATCTAAAAGAAGGAGCGCAATTTCACGCTTGATATAAAGCGTTCTCATAGTGAATGCGGCTGGCCGAACTGTGTCGGAGAGAGAATTGCCACGCAGCAAGATATTCGGCCGCAAGATCCACGATAGGTCTCAACCACCCTGTGCTGGCGAGTTCCCAGCACAGGTTGACAAGATCCAACATTAGTTTACACACAATCCGCAATACTAGTAGAGGCGAAGTAGCAATCACGTGGTTCTAGTGGTTGCTTGTCTCAGATTTGTTTTATTGAAATAGGTTAAAGCTTTCGATATCACTGCAACGGCCTTCTAGTCATGATGCATCCATTCTAGCCGAACTTGCAGTGGATTCTGCAAATTGACTTTTAACTAAACCATCGTCTGAAAGGATGGACTTTGTATCTTTCAATTTTCATCCAGATTTCGAAGATCCCGTTCAATCTTGGAACTGATGGTGACTTTGGCCAACAATACAGGTAGAGCTTCTGTTGCCGGAGTTTCAGAACCTTGGTGAAGAAGGTGACCAGATTAGGATATGGAACTTATCACAAATCTTCTTGGATGATCTCCAAGAACGTCTTGGAACTCAGGTATGTCAGTCTGAAGCTGGTTACCCTTCCTGGACTGGCCTTAGAGAACATCCTGCGGTATTCGAAGGCAATAGAATACAACTTTGGGGAAAAGGTTCGGATCAGGTCGAAATCAGTAATGAAAGTTTTGACGTGGTGCAGCGTGTGTGCAGCGATTGAAGGCAATCTTCCCAGATGCTGGTGTGGCCGCTATGCTAAAGTATCAGTGGAAGGATGCTACCTTCAGCTTTGCCAGGTTTCCTTCCATGTGCCGTCTTGTGAGTTGCTGTCCATTACAAGATGTTGCGAAGGTTGCCTCTCTGTGTTAAACTAATGAGAGAACCATCGGAGTTGCATAAACTTCTAGAGATGCAAAGCCCTTAGTTGGATTCTTGAAGTAAGTCACTCATATTGCTTTTTGATTCGTTGGATATGTTTTGCAGTTTAAACGACAGGAAACCTATCAACGCAGACGATGATGTTGTGGTTTTAGTATCACCTGATTACCAGGGCCTGGCTGATGTCCAGCGGATCGCAGTGGCTCTTGTTGATGGAGACGATGGGCCTGTAAGTTTTCTACATTGTTTATTGGAATTGAAGCTTAGCCCTAAGGTGCACTTCAAGAAGTAGTTAGAACCTGATCACCTAAGAAATAGTCGAGACAGCTCTGACACATGTTCATGTTATGCATGTAGCCACGTCCTCTCATCATGTGGAACCCACGGCTCCAAAGTGGTGAGGTCGGAATTGGTCTGAATGTTAGGCGGATGCGTGAGTTCTTCCTCAGGTAAATCTTCTGAACGCGTTTGTTAGCGGTAGGTTGAGCCGTATCAAGCGTTGGTTCCATCTATCTTTTCGATTAAGAGTGATTACGCTTGCAGTTCAACAATCTGTCCTTGTAAGAGCTTAATCGATCGCGAAATGCGTCAGGTCCACAGGACTGCGACACATTTTTCTTTGCTGCTGTTCTTACCCGGTCTCTTTTACCTTGGTCGGTTCTGCAGCACATTCAATTATGTGTACTCGATGCGATCACTTTCCTTTGGATCCATATTCCGGCGATATCCAGGGTATGTTGATTTTCTCATTTAAGCTCCTCGTATATTCGTGATCCGAAGCTTCAAGATTTTTTTCTGCTATATAGTGTACGTTAAAGACCGTACTCAACCCTAGTATGAAACTTCTACTGGAGACATGAGTCTATGCAAACACGAAACATCTCTCCGAAGTCAATAAGTAGGAATTTGTTCGCTTTATGATCTGCAGAAACTGGCAAGTATTCTTTGACGATGAGCAAGTACCTGGTCGGTACATACTAGCGAAGGTGGAGAGAGAGCGCCCCATACTTGAGGACGTTGAGGTTTGTGTCAAAATTATGATGCTATCGGTCTACATCCTTCTACTTCTTTCCTAGAACTTAGAGGAAACAAATTCTCTGCTCAATCATGATCCTCGACATTTCTGGTAACTCATCAGGTGCATATTGTCTTCCCTAGTATGAACTGCGCCATATTTGGAGCGATGCTTATTGTTGTCAAATTTCAAGCGTGCATATCCACCTGAAGAGGATTAGTATTTGCAATATAATTAGTGTATGCTATGCTAGCTGGTTGCAAGCATGTTTCTAAGGCAAAATGAACTGTGGTCGTTGGCAGATGCTGTACATGGCTAAACAACGCGGTGGCAATGGTGAAGCCAGTGATGAGCCACCTCCACTTCAAAGTGTTCTTGGAGTATTTGCATCGCTCAATCGGTTTATGAGGTCACTGTCTCGTTAGTTACAACGTCTGCTTCATACTGGAAGCTTTGTACTATCTGTAAAGTGTAATACAAGTCGAACGCGCGATATTATTGCGCTGCCGAGCTTTGATGTGTAAAGTAATAAAGTTTACTAGTATGATCATCAAGTTTGACTCTTGAACTGTTTCAAAATTTAATTTCAATCATGGAAGATTGTATGAAGATAGAGTTCCCCTTGATTCATTTTAAGAAACCGAACCGTCTTCTGTCAATGGATCCGATCACAGGTGCATTCAGAACAGATTAGGTAACTACTGTTGTATACTAGGTGTGAATGACTAAAGAGTGTTGAAAACTGATGAGTGATCACTAGTTAAGACAAGATACTACAGTTCTCCCAAGAAAACATCTAACAATTTGAGACAAATACAGTACTTGTAATGGTTTCACTCTCTTCGTGGGATTTTATGTTGAACCTCTATCATTAGAGGTTTGAAGTATTGTTATTTACCAAAATCTTTATAATTACCAGGAATTTAAGATTCAAATTCTGGAAACTTGCCATACTTTTTACAAACGGGAGAGATATTCTTCGCGTTCATCTGGCAACACCAAACAAACAGTTTCTCCATTTTATAAAGGTGTAAGAAGTTAGGGTCTAGAGCAATGAAAATAGGTTGTGCAACACATAGAGTAGGCTATTTGACAACTATGACTCTTAGTATAGTAAAACCTCTCTTGCACATTGCCTTGCTAACACGTAAATAGTCACTTCTTTAGCTCCGTATGAAATAAAAGCCGGAAGAAGAAAAGTTGCACATTTGCACTCTGAGATCTATAGATATTCATATCTTGGATAATTTTTCATACATGATATGAATGATTGCATCTATGCAACTATATTTTGTTCTCATGAATGATATTTAGATATGTTTGAACATTGACCGACTACAACTCTTCCACAATATGAGATATGTCCATAACGTAAAAGACACCTCATGGACATGTTATTGACATCGTACGTAATGATCTCTCGACTTCCAGGTGAACTTCAAGTCATGTGATCAACTGCTACATCTAAAGTTCAACACATAACTAGTATACTAGTATAAATGAAATGCAACATTGTGATACATACTTTACTTAACAACATATCAACCTTTCTTGGAAGAGTAATATGTGAAATCACCATTGCTATCACCTTATGCAATGAGGGCATATCTTCAAAGAATTTAATTCAAGACTGCTATACCCACCAAAGATATCAACGTATGCACCAAGAAAAATAATATTAATTCTTAGGTAAACTATGAGATTATGAATTGCATGTAGCGACCAATGATGGTACTGCTTTCTTGAGTACAATAGATTGTAGAAAATATGTAGAGAGGAGAATAAATCCTAGATCTTTCACACACAAGTAAAAGAGTGCATGTGACAACCCATGAGACAAATAGAAGCAACATAAAGACTTCTATTCAAAATAAATTATGTAATCTTGAAAGATCTAATATGACCATATATAATAATACTCATTTGATATTCCAACCTGAAAAAATGTAATTAGTAGATCGATATCTATTAGATTCATTTTTTTGATGTATTATATTTTATAATGATTTTTTTTTTTCAGAAAGTTCACTTTAATACTAAATTTAGGGTTCATGTTTGATTGAGAAATCAGTTCATGCTTGATAAATAAAACTAGCGAATCAGAAAAGATGAAATTTAAGATATAGATTTATTGAATAGTATATTTTTTTGAAACTGCATTGACATTGTTAATATATCTACAGTGTCACATGCTTCATTTCTTCCAAAATGTAACAATTCAAGAATGGAAATTAATTTCGAAGAATATTTGTAAGAATCATCTGTCTCATAACTTTTATCTTAGCTGTGAAAGCCGACTTATATAAGTTCAAAGGGATAATTGACATGGTCGAGAACAAACACATATATATTCACATCACCATTTTCCGTTTTCAATGCATATCAGAAATCTTTGCATAACAATAAGGATACTTTACATCCATTCGAAAATCTTTGATTTTTATCTTGCATATGTAGTTCGATGAACTAAAACAAGAATTGAAACATATATCTAGAAATGATATTTATATTAACATTCATCTGTTTTATTACAAATTTGCATGAGAATGTTCATTTGGTTATATTTTTTTTAATTCATGTTATGCAAATGACAAAAATAGCCTCTGACTTTATTTAAGAAATCAGATGGGTAACCACAAAATCTCTTAAGTATAATACAAAATTATTGTGTGTTACAAGAGACGATTAGATTTCAGTATCTAATTCAGATATTCATGATGTTGATTTTGAGATCTTCACCTGATTGGATTTAAATCTTTAAAAAGAAATTTAAAGAAATTATAATTTTTCAATTTTCTGAAAATGATATTATAAACATTTAATTAATTAATCGAATTTTTTAAATCCCTTGTCAGTATTATACGCGAGAATTGCCTTATACACAGAATCGGTTGAATTGAAAAGGTAATTCAAAATTAGCTCAAGAGTATGATGATAATTATGTAATAAATATGAATGTTTCTGTTTCATCTTGATAAAAAAAATTTATTATGCAACGTTTCAAACTAAAAGTATTTCCATAAACAGATCAAATTACCTTTCGTATAGTTAGTCCAGACTGGATTATGAAATCCAAGACATGAAAAATTTCAAATGAAGAAGTCATCACTTATTTTCGGGCCTGCATTTATGACCGAAGCTAGAAAAATGGACTTCTAAACAACCTGTTCAAATCACATTAATAAGACGCCTACGCTTTATTCCTACACTTTGACTTAGCTTTACTGTAAGGGTGTAGAGGTAGCTCAATGAGTTGTATATTCTATTCATGAAAAAAACCAAGATTTGACACTTGAATCACAAATCAGGAAAGATATGAAGAAGGTTAAGGTCAGGATACAATCATATTCTTGTATCAATACCTTAACTAAGGTATTGATTCAACCGTCGGAATAGAAAGAAGACATAAACATTTGTTCTGTCTGAATGTAAGGGAGACGCATGGAATGAAAGGAGCAATGCAAAGTGTCGGAACACATAATTAGGAGACAGATTGCACTAATTCAGCACGTGAACGAGGGTTTTAGACTGACTTTTGAAGTGCCCGGATGCACAAAGGACAGGGGAGAGGTCATCAGTCCCAACAGAGTGAGGAACTCTCGTGCGTTTTTCTCTGTCACCGTCAGTTGGAATTGGATTGTGAGCGGACCAGGGTTTAGAACTAGAGCTCCCCAGCGATGGCCGCTCAGGGGAGCTGTGATCACTTCGATTCTTAGATGATTCTTTGGGGACACAGATCCTATCAGCTTAAGCGCGAGTGAGCGGACGGTAGTAGAATTTTCACGATGAGTTTGAGCGGATGGCGTCTTGTTCGATTACGATCGGGGTCTGTAAATTTTCCTTCCCTTGATCACTTGCTGAACTCCTGGCAGCAGCTGGGTGTTGGCTCGTCACGGAGTATCTCGGTTTCCACAGTTGATAGACTTTCAGGTACGAATTCTAGTGTTGTGACTTACTTCTGGGGCCGTTGTTCTCTTTGTGTTTCTTCTGGGAACTGAAGCAGGACTAGTCTTACGGGATCGGGGACCGATCTGTTGAAGAATACAGTTCAGTGTGTGTATATAGAATTGCTGTTCCAGCGCCGAACCCTAAACCTTTTTGGGATGTTCACCCGTATATCTGCATTTTCTTTCTCTTGATGATCTATTCTGCGATCGCTCATCTCACTGCAAAGAAATGAACAATTCCATCGATGACAGGTTTATGGCCTAAGCTCAGTTGAAGAAGAACTGACAAAAACTTTATGGTAAATTGACAAACAAAATGACAGTTGCTCTAAGTCCGTCTTCATTATCTTCCATCAACCCTAATATACAAAAGTGAAGAGGGTGGATTCTCAAGTCAAAACCTAGTGTGGAATTAAGAAACCGGACTGTCAAATCTGCAGTTGTGGCGAAGAGTTTTATGTAGATTCCTTATCATGACAAATAAGGAGGTTGAGCTTGCATCATCATTTCCAGTATTCTTTTGTGTGAATGATATACATATTTGAGAATGTCCACCTGTGCCATCATCTAGAGGAGGGTACCGGCAATGGTGGACCGCGGGAGCCAGCGGAGGATTCGCCTCAAGCTACCGGAGATAAACGTTTGTGGAGAAAGTGGATTGAAGACCGCCTTGCCCATTGTAAGATGAATAAGGGTTTACTGCTTTTATTCATCATGGACATAGTGAACTTCCAGTCGAAGAACTTAATATGCTGAGTAAAAAATGTAATACTGCAAAGAGATATTTCACTATGAAATTTGAATAATGAAAATCTCTGGAGTATTTACTCCTCTTTTATGCTATTCTTAAAGTACTGTGATTTGGAACACATTCCAACTACTAATTTCCGTCTTTATTGAAACTGATCGTTTGTCAGCAAAAGCTGGTGGTGAGGAGAGAAGTGGTTCCTCAGGTGCAGACTCCTTATTCGAAGATAGTGTGACGAGGTCCTCCCTATCAGGTTAGTTTCAACTCAAACTAGTGAGATGTGTTTTTAGGTGTATAGTACAATCAAACTTTTTGTGCCGCTTACTTTTGTAGACACCTGGTGTTATAAAAACGCATGATGAAGGGTATTGGCTCTTGGCAGCCCTCTGGACCTTGAGGTGCCCTGGTCAAGACATGGTGTTCCCGTAGAGTAATTTGACCTTGCAACGATGAAACTTTCTCTGTGTTCGTGTCCGGAAAGGTGCATGCCCATTCCTGTAACTAAGACAACACATACCTCCTCGTATAGTCGACTTAACATATTATTGGGATTTTATTTTGATTGTATATTATGATTTGAGTTCGAGCGACATGTTGGTTGTTGCTCAATAACTCTCCGTTGTACTGGAATGTACTTGTATCTGTAGACAACTTTGCGGATTTGACAAAAAAATTAAAAGCTTGGATAGATTGCAACCGACTTTGTTACCACCTTTATGTGAAAGAGCAGTAGTGGGTGGATCATTTCATTATGGACCATGTGCCATATGTTGTATTAACGTCCAGTTGTGGTGGATTCGTGATAAGAGTTGTTCGGATGTCTTCCATGTACAGCTGACGACGTAGTTGGAACAAGCAGTTCTTCTTATGGAGGAACATCGGAAGTCGAGGAATATGGAAATCTACCCTTTTCCTCTGGTATACGGTCCACGAAGCACACTATATATATGATTATACCACAGTATTATATCTGCTTTGTTTTGAAATTTTTTTTGGTTGCAAAACTTGTACTTTCAAGTGATTGTCATTATTAGTCCCACTTTCCGCAGGTGGGAGGCTACCATGTGACGGATGTTTCTCTGTTTTATTTCTTTAGAGACAACTGGAAGCGAAGAGATGTCTTCTTCGACGTATACGAGGTCACAATATTCTGAGGATGAGTTAGTCACACCTGATTTGAAATCACACGTAAAGGAGACTGCCCGTGAGACGAAGGGTTCTATCGATCTGGACGCTCTTATAAATGAGTCCTTCAAGCCATCTAGTTTTTCTGGTATGATTCTCTTGCTCCAACTTTCCTGTGCCGAAGTTCTCATTTTCAGCAATGCAGTAGTTGAACCTGCAATTTTCTAGTTGTTTCATGTATGCACCCTTCTACATCTCGAGTGGCTCTTGATATTGAGCTGATTGAATTTGATCATAAACTGTTGTCCATACACAGGCGAACCAAGTTTGGATAAGCTCAGGAATCTGACTAACCGTGACAGTCCCAGTGCCAGTTTCCTACAAGGTGTGCTGCTTCGACACCTTGCAATGTGTCTCATATATCTTTGTTCATTTTCGAGAAGCACTAGGTCCCGTGATTTCATGACTTATCTGACTTTGTATACAACACATGCAGAAAGAGAACCAGCTAGAAGTACCAGCTACTCTTCAAAGCAGAAATCACCTTTTCCAGAGAATGCGAAGCGGTCGGCCCTACCCTCAGCAGGTTGTTTGAAATCAGGCTCATTTTGCTAGATGTGGATACCTGTTTGAGATTTTCACAGCCATAGGCCGTCCCTTTGCATGTTTCAGTTCATCAACTCGCAGGACACTGATTCCAACAGTGGAGTTGGTTTTATTGCAGCTAAGCCAAAGCCAAGTGGTGAGGTGGCTCAAGTGTCAGTGGAGATGCAACTGCCAAAGGTGGAAGCACTTGATGATTTTGAGTATCGAGTCCTTGGCACTGCAAGTGACTTAGACGATACTCGAGATGACGATTTCCTAAGAGAGCTCGATGAGATAGGAAGATCAGCCAGAGGAATTCGCGAATATGACGAAGGTGAAGAGGATTCAGGAGCGGATGAAGATGAAGATTGGGATGATGACAAAGCTCAGGTGTTGACCGATCTAGCTTTGTCTAATCTGGAGGAATTTGATTTGGAGGACGAGCAACGCCCGTATCGCTTAAGAGCTGACAGATTATTCTTTCCTGGACAACTTTACGATCCCGAGGTATGTCGAGTTGAGCTACACCCTAAATCCTTTGGATTTATCGTTCTTGGCAAGAAGCTAATGGAAGTTGGCAAGTAAGAAAATGAACAACGCAAGGGAACAGGGTTATTTTGTTGTGTTGGCGAGTTAATTAATGTGTAGCTTGTGGTGTTGACAGTTCTAGATGTAAATTGTTAGTTTTAGGACTCTAAGAAACGTTACCTACCATAGTTAAACGAGGGTCGCTTTCATTCGGCAGGATCTCGACATATCCAAGCCAGTGGCGGAGCTGGAGAAGCCGACTTCGAGGACACGGAAAAATTATTCTTCGAAAGAAGTTTGCCAGATTGCTGATTTCAGGGTGAGCCTCTACTTGTGTAGTATCGTGATATTGACCCTGTTGAATGTTCCCTGCATCATCCGCAGACATCAGCAAACTTGAAATATCTATCTCAGTTGATTTGCCCAAAGATTGTTCGATCCGAAGGAGATCTGTTCGTGTTTTGTTTTCCTCTGGAAATTTTGTGCAATATCTATTTGTAGTAGGTTAAGTTACAGCTCTTTACACCTAAAGATGTTTTGAAGAGGTGTTGGTGCATACGACTTGGTTAAAGATTTAGTCCTAACTATATATTAAGTCGTTTCTGGCATACAATCAGTTTTGACAAATATTTTGCGTTTTGCCAGAATCCTCGCTACTTGTCAAACTTTCTTCGAGAGTCCTCCAGGATCCTTCCTCGACGACATGTAAGCCTTTCGTCTCAGCATCTGCCAATTCCCAATAGTCGCTAGTTGTTCGAACTCAATTTTAAACTTAGCTTTGAGACTATCTATTGTTTTACAAGCTTCGATCAGATAAGAGGACTCTTATGTTCTTGTTTCTTACTTTTTGTGCAGCATCAAGTTAGTGCCAAAGCCCAACGGAAAATCAATCGGGAGATCAAAACTGCACGCGTTTTAGGTCTAATGCCCTTCACCTCGATGGGGGACGCGCCGTTTAGGTTTATGAGATCTCGGTCGGATGACGACCCTTATCCTGGTTCCGAAGAGGATTAGTTTTAGGGCTAGTGCTGAACATTAGTTCGACATCAGAGAAAAGTTTCCGTGGCGATTTTTTCTTCAGCCAAAAGGCATTCATCTTAGGAAGGAAGCTTGTTAAATTTCAAGCTTTATCCAAGTCCCATCCTTTTGAGAAAGAAAGTAGCCCGTCTGTCTGCCTTTACCCATCAATTAGGGTCAAGGAGGAGTATTCGTCGGGCAAAAGATCAAGAACTGCTTATAGGTGAAAATCTTACCTTCTGATATTCTCCCTGATTACAAAAGCTTGTAGTAAGTACAACATCATTCGCAGCTCCTCCTCGTAGGAAGTATGAGCAGTGATTCGAAGGAAAGGGGAGAAATGCTCTGCTCTTACGTAATGATTTGAAGTGATTGAAAAGTGGTTCTTCTCATGTCAAGTGCAATTTGAGACGAAATATGTGGTCAACCGATAAGGTACTTGCCATCAAGTTCCGTGGTACTCTTTGTGGTGATCGACCTCTGTAAGGCCCAAGGAGGTTGAGTTTTGAGATGAAGCAAGAAAACTCAAGTTTTAGCCCGGTGCGCTCCTGCTCTCTGTCTCTTGCGTGGATCTTACCTACCAAGCGCGAGCTTGGTAGGAACTGATGTTCATACCATTCACTAATTTCTTGAATTTCTTGAATGGAGCACAATTGTTAAGATGATGATTACACTCTCGTTTTTTTGCAATTCACTCGCAGTTAGCAGTGTTCTTCAAGCCTAAATGCTTCCCACACATCGCTGGCTTTCATCCAACTTGCACCCAAGAAGCAGGTTGGTTCCAATTATTCGATAGATTGGAAAGGTCTACAATTTCCATAGCTTCCATTTCTATAGCTTTCATTTCAATAATCTCTACACTCAAAGCCACACTAGTTTGCTATTGCTAAAAAACTGTAGCAACCTAGTACTTCGTACTTAAGTTGGACATAATTTCGTCCTCAGACTGAAAAACTCTTTGGAGTTGCAATCGGCGGTAATTTGCCCCTTCCACAGCTGCCTCATTAATTTCACTGAGAATTGGACATAATTTCGTCCCTAGACTGAGAAACTCTAGCTGCTTTGACTACCCTACACGAATCTCTCCCTAATTCGAACTCCGAAGAGTTGCAAGCGGCGGTAATTTGCCCCTTTCACCGCTGCCTCGTTAATTTCACCGAGAGTTGACACAATTTGGGTATGATTAGATTTCAAATTTCAAATCCAATTTCATGCCAATTAATAATTACGGTGTTTTTAGGATAGCCTTTTTGAACCTGATGCTGCCCGACCTGGTTAGAGCCCGACTTCTTGAATTGCCTCACTGCCCACTTTTGTGTTGTTGCCAAGTAGTACTTTATGGAACCCAAAGAGGTTGAGGAACGAGATCACCGGGGCTGAGGCCTGTGTTAAAAAAAAACGACAAGTAATTATTGGGGCGAGCCTAATTGTGAAGAATCAAGATGAATGTCACCTGTGGGCCTAGGGTTCCGAGGCCAGACGACCAGATTGTGATGTTGGCCCCGGGACTGGTCGCTGGACACAAGTCTTGACAGATAGAGCTTTGATGGATAGAAAATACAGCGTGCCCTCGTTACACTCGAGGAACAAATAATCTTTTTCGTAGTGTAAATGTGATCTAAACATCACACTTGATGATAGATATCTACCAATCGCATTTTTAACATTGCAATAATAGTGGACAGTAAATAGTCACCTAGTCATCCCATGTAAGTATTAGGTATGCAAAACTGCAGAAGATATCTGTTTGCTTTTATACATGTATGAGGTTTGGCACCTTTATTCAAAATGTGATGTGAAAGATGTTTATATGTTTTCAAGCTACGTTTACAAGAAACCATTGAGGTAATAATTCTTAACTAGGTGTGTAAAACCTTATACTCTTGAGGTGTATCTTCTTAAACTTCCAACAATTCTCAAGACATTTATCCAAATGAAAAAGAATTCATGGAGAATAGGAAATTTTTATAATAAGTTTATACTCTTACAAGAGAATCCAGACTCTTTGTAGGCTAGTAGTAGTACTACTCTAGTAGGCTCTTAAGTGATTGTGTTGGCCTCCTGCCCTAAATTTATTATATAGTATGCCTGCATTCGCATTGACCGAAATGCCGAGCAAACAAACCAATGTCACTGGTCTTGTTGAGGAAGGATCTTAGACATCTTGATTTCCAGACTATGTGTTGCAATATATTCATCTCCATGTCTGCTCTTCACAGTTTCAAGTGTCTTGAAAATATAATATGCGATCAAACTAGCTAATGATTCTTCTCGGTTTTGTCTCAATGTGAAATGCTATGAAAAAAGAAGAAGAAACTATCGTAAGACCCATCAAACCAGTTCAAACAAGACGTGAAATAAAATATTAGGTTTGAAAAGTATCACTACGGGACATATATGTCGTAGATCAATTAAGGTATCTGAATGGTCAAGTCCTAACGATCTAAGAAGAACAATGTTCAAGTTCACTTACAGTACATGATTCTGAGAATGTCTTCACCGTTCATATGCATAAACACACCGAATGAAGCTACAAGTTTAGAAAAGCTCCGTTACAAAAAGTTATGAGTTCAAAACCTTCAACTGTGTGAAACTTTCTGCTCATCGAATGATGATGATATGATGTTCATGACAAGGTTAGCGATACTACTTGGAGTTGAAGGGAAGAAAAGTTTTTATGAAAAAGTATGAAAAGTATGAAAAGAAAACTTTTGTTGAAAAAGTATGGAAAGCTAAAGAACAATGGTGCGGGTAATTGATCACAAAAATACTTTCCCTGTAATAATAGGTCTAAGTCTTAGCATTTGTCATTAGCCATCATTAGAAGGTCACCAACCCCAAAGCCAACAAACTAGACATCTAACTACACGCCATTCTTGATTGCCAACTTAGTAATGACAATGAATGACATATTGGGATAAAATATGCTCTCGTACGCCAGACCCAATAATCGACCTGAAGAGGTAAGAGGAGTTGCGCTTCAGTACTTGGTGTATAGATCGGTCCAAGATTCGCCAGTGGTTAGCAATGAAGATGATTCTGGATTCAGGGTCAAAACAGTCAAAATAGTGTAGTGGACAGTGGGCAATATGACAAAGAATGAATGTGTCTCGTGTATTTATGCATCAAGCTAGAGATACCTGGTCTTTCAAGTTCTATAAGTACTCAATTATAGAGTTTTTCTCATATCATCAACCATTTATGAATTGTCATGATAGATAAGCTGGTCTCTCTAAATCAGGCAAATATGGAACTCGAGAGTTCGTTTTTAGAGTTCCGCATTTCCAACAAAAAAATCTTTGTTATTTAGGTGGCTTTGCTAGAGAAACTAAGGGAGTCACTCAACTAAAACTTTGTGGTGACTGTTTGTGACAATATTTTTGTTGATTCTAGGTGGCTTTACTAGAGAAACTAACGAAAATACCCAGCTAAAACTTTGCGGTGACCGTTTGTGATCACTTCTTTGTTCATCTCAATTGCTTTACTAGAAAAATTAACGGAGTTTCTCAACTAAAGTTTTGTGGTGACACCCGATGAGTTCAACCAAGCAAGTTCTAGTTCTAGGCAACGACTCAAATCTTCTTGGAAACAAAACGACATGGATTAAATAATGAAAGTACACAAATAGCTTTTGTAAGGAGAACATGTTCTTGATTCACAAAAATTTGCTGATGGGAGAGTCTGATTCAAGAGATTAAGAATAGATCTCTTCAAGTTTTTCGGAGTATTAGTTCGACAATTTTTGAACACTGCAACAGTGGACAGATACGGATTAAAAGAAATCCGCCCTACATAGAGAGTCCTGCTTATTTGTGATCTCTTCCGAGAATGCACAGCGTACCCACATGACAACATGCCTATATAGAGAGCCCTGCTGTTCTCTATATAGTGCGAATTCCGCATGTTATGTATCTCAAAAAAATAAGGATAATTCTCAAATCAAAGTACGGAATATACGGAACTTGACAATTTTTGGCCGAATTTTGACCTAAATTTTCATGTTTTCGGCCGAATTTGTCGGCAATGTAACACAACTTCGAGAGAAATGGGTGTTATATTTGATCTCTGAATATCCTTTTCCCATTTTAGCACGGAGAAATCACTCTCCACGCCTGTGTGGAGTGTTCAAAAATGGTGAAAGTAATACTACAAGAAACTCCATGAGTTGAAGAAATCTATTCTTAATTAGAATTTTCAATCAACAGATTTTTGTGCACCTAGAACATTTACTTAGTAATGTTTTGGGTTCATTATTTTATCCATGTACTTTTGTTTCCGAGAAAATTTGAAACTATCTTGAGCTACAAGTGAATGAGATAACCAAGGAAACAAAATAGAGATATTTGCTTGATGGGATACCATCAAGAACATTTTTGCTTGATGGTACCCATCAAGTTTCGTTTTACCCAATGGGACTCCAACGACGGTACACGTCACAATGTTCTAGTATGAATAGACGGTGAGTCGCATTGCCGCTAACGCGTGACTGCTGGCTGAGCTTGAGCCTTCTCCTCGTTTTTACTGTACCGGGCCATCTTTCAGGGGAATCAGGTCCTATCGCTGGGCGCGTCCGTGGTCGAGGGTCCGTGACAGAGCAGCGAGTCCCTGGGACATTGCGCACGACGCGGATTCTGGTCCAAGGCTTATGCGGGGATGCCGTTGTGTTGGCCAACCTCGAGGGCTCGTTCGACGAGAGTTGAATTGCGCCGAATTGGGGTCGATTTCCGAGAGCTGGCGCCGGTGCACCGATTCTCGAAGTCAGATCTGTAGCGCTGGGCGAACCGGGGCGGTCGAGGAGCATGCGTCATGCTTTGGCTTGCCGTGTCTTTTGGACAATTGGATATCATGCATTCGTTGTTTTGACCTGTGCAAGTGTGTTCGGGTCTGCTGTAGCGGTTGAGGTCTAAATCAGTGAGGGCGTGACAAAGATAGAGGAATGAGATGAAGCGGGGGCACGAAGCTCAAGTATTCCTTCGCGATCCATTTCCAACATTGCAATCGTTTTCATATTCCATGTTGGAAGTTCGACTTGCGTTCGCTTTCTTCTTTCCGTCTTCTTTTGCGCAATTTTCTTGAACAAGCAAATCCGAGGTGGTCTTCTCAGACAAGGTTCTAGATAATCTGCACTTTCGCCTAATTGGCTCTTCAACTGCGGCATCATACTACACCACCCTTCATGATCACGGCAAGAAGTTCACTTGAATTGATTTTCACGGCTTAAAAGAAATAGCATGCATCCACAACATCTCGTGTCCATATAGTACAGATGCAACGTCATTCCCAATTCAGCTTCTTATACCTTTAACGAATACTTCCCCTCGATTCCAAGAGTTTAAATCCTTGGTTAAATTACCGCACTATCTTCATAACCTTACATCAAGTGCTCAGTAAAGGTCAAGGGATGAATTGATACGTGGAGTACCGGTGATTCCATCTCCATCATTATTCTTGTCTACCTCTCTAAAATCGTTCAGGACCTCTTGAATTTGTTCACTTACTGGAGTTTAACAGTGATCCGAAGTAACCAATGTTCTAAGTTACAAATGTTACAAGAATATATTCTTAAAAGAACAAATACAAGAACAATGTAATATAAGAACATTTATTAGAATTCATCTACGACACATCGTCCGAGGGTCCATCGAGTAAAACGAAACTTGATGTGTACCATCAAGCAAAAATGTTATTGATGGTGTTCCATCAGTCAAATATCTCAAACAAAATATTAGAACTTGGTTGAACTCTTGGGGTGCGGCCGCAAAGTTTTAATCAAGTATTCACTTAATCTCTCTAGCAAAGTAACGGTAATCAACAAAAAAAATTGTCGCAAGCGATCATGACAAAGATTTAGTTGAACATTTACGTAAGTTTTTCTAGTAAAATCAACTACATCAACAAAGATTTGTAACTATGTTAGTTTCTCTAGTAAAGACACCTAGACAACAAAGACTTTTTGTTGTTGGAAATAATGAACTTTTTGAAAACAAAATACGGCACTTTATGTGACATATTTATAGAATAAATGGTCACTTCCAACCGTTTGCTGCATTAAATCACTTTCAATAAATGCACCACATGTACATCTCATGAAAGAAGTGAATTTGGATAGGGAAGGTGAGGTGACTTCATTTGGAAGTAACAGTAATTATAGTTTTCGCGTTTCTTTCTACACACCCTTCCTTTTAGAGAAAGATAGAAAGGAAAGAATGTAATCCTTGATGTCACCTGAAGCGAATGACGCTCTTGATGGAGATGGTATATTTACAGGGAAGACATGCGACGACTATTCTCTTGCACCTCCAAAGAGAGAGGAGATTTTAGTTCTATTACACTTGTTCGGGTCCATCCATGAAGGTATCTAGAGTGCAAATATATCCGTGTTCGCTTATGCCCGACTTTGGGTGGTAATAGTAACAAAGATCACAAATGAATATGTCACTTCCGCAGTGTGGGAGGTTGAGTGTGAAGAGGAATAATACCTCGTCAACAATCCCCGTTCCTTCTTCAACCATTCCCTCTAAGCGCCAAGTTTGCTCGCATGAAATTATGTACAGTGGAAGCTCGATGCATATTCTGCATGTTTCTACTGCAATACAGATCACGCTTTTCGTTCTTCTATGGTAGTCGACGTGGTTCATAGCAAATAGAGGCCTAATTGACAGATGGGCGTGCAGTTTCGCAATGTTATAAACGAAATCTCAAAAGCTGTCTGTTTCAGATTGTTTGTCGTTTGGAATACATCTGCAGGAAGATGTGTTAGTTTTCATATCATGATGAGAATGACTATTGGTAGAGTCGTGATCAGCAGAGAGATAAGTCATGATAAAAAATCGTGAACGATATCAGTTAAGAAGTCACTGTAGCCACCACAGCATCCTCCGGGATTCAGATGTGATTATTGGATTTGATCTCAGCATCCTTTTCCATGCGCGTATCTTCATCTCCTTCGTGCACAATCTTAGGACAGCCACGCTTAGCATGTCTCCCGGCTGTCACAAATTCGGGCGACGTCGACAACAATGTGTTACGCAGAACACCAGGAATGCGTTATCAATGATAGAAATGCCTCAGTAGCGAAAAATAAACGATTTTGGTAGACGTAGAAGGCACTTCGACTTGGCCGTACACACGATGTGCAAACAGCGAATCAAAGCCGCGGGCAGCGGCTTGGCGCGAGACGGGGACGTACGACATGTTCCAACACATTCATAAACGTACTGTACAGTGCATTGAAAAATTGACTTGGCAACTGAAATGGCACGAGTCAAAAAGGAAAGACATGGTGAGTATTCTCCAAGTGCAATAGTCAAAGCGCCACGACCGAAGCAGCAGACCGGGACTCTAAACAGGTTCACACCCACTGTATTGCAAAAATCCTAGATAATTGGGCAGACAGTCAATCGTCCACTGCAGAACTGATCGGGACTTAGGGCTGCCATCTTTCCGGCAAAGCTAATTTCACCTGATTCTCTCCTCATGTAAACCAACAAACATCGAAGGACTCAGCGACTGATTCCGGATAGGAATCCATGTCACCTGGACAGTACGGCAGACTGCAGCGATGGAATCTTGAGATCGTCCTTTCCTCGCGACTGGACTCAATGCACAACTCACACTCCGGTACGGCAAATGATCTGTTGGAAAGGACAATAAGGAATCTCATTCCGCAAGACAGTCGAAGCAAGTCACACCACAACTCACCCTACTTTTGTAGATAAACCTGGGAGTAGGATGTAGGGACGTGGGGAGCAATTTCGAGTCGCTTTTCGTCGGTGGATATATGATTCCTAATCCATAAAAAAAAAGCGGAGAGGCAGAGAGAAGGGCCCCGGGCGAACAGGTAAGACTGTGACTAACCGGAGAGGCACAGAATCAGCCATAGCCACGATTGTCCAAAGCCCTCCATTCTCTCCCCCGACGGAAGAGCGGGCTCCTCGCTCGGTGAGCTGACGCGGGGCCCATCAGCGCCACAAGCTCTTCTTTTGCCCTGCGTTGCCTCGTCCTCGTCCGCCCGGAAGTCCAGGGGCGAAGGACAAACTTTCCGACGATGACTCTCCCGCGGCTTCTTTTCTCTTGGCAAGGACTTCCGCTAGGCGGCTGTGCCCAATAACACCTGCTGATGCTGTTGCCTCGTCGCCCTGTTCCTTGCCCTCGCCGTGCGCGTTCAAGGACCGGGAACCGGTGCCAGCCCTAAGGGAGGGGCTAACTTTAGGGGCTTTCGTTAGTTGGGTCCTGCGTACGTGTCATCTCTTGGCGGAACGACCTGCTCTCGAGAGGTCCTATCTTTAAAAAAGAGAAAAAGGAGACGCATGGAATAAAAAGTTTGAACGAAATCATCGCTCGTCGAAGATTTTATTTTTCTCTTGACCTTTGTACGTCCTTGAGTTGAAATGCATGTCGGCAGCTGTCAGCTCTCGGTGCACCTCGCCCTCTCGATCACACTAAAGAATTCCTGTAAACTGGACAGTTTGTGGGTGTTTTAGGGGTTCTGGAGAGTTCCGGTAGATCGAAATAGTTTAGAAATGTTCCAACCTCCCGTTCAACAACCCAAAAGCTGCATTTGTTTAAGCCCTCTAGGCTGAAGTGGTTCCTCGTAACGCTCGTCTTGACATATCAATTGAGCTGACTTTGAAAATCATGTTCAACCCCTTGCGGATATTCCTCACGCGCTTCACATAAGATATTCTCCATTAAGGTCTTTGAGCATGGTCAGTTACTGGAAAATCAAAATCACAGCCTACTGTAGTTGCTACAAGAAAATTTTTAATCTTTGCATCTTTGGGTAAAAGGACTGGGCACATCGCCCAGTCCCTTTTCCCATGTTATATGTAATTCAAATTTTATTTTAGTACAGATAACCTAGTTGGGCATTTTCTCCGATAATAATTTGAGGCCATATAAAGGCCGATAAACTGGTTCGTATTTCAGCTTTTAGCTATCAATAAGGAATGCGTAACAAATTAAGCGATCAAGTAGGCATTGGCAAGTCAACCCATGCACATGCACATTGCCGCAGTTGCGGACATTTATGTGGACTCTCACGAACACTTGTGCTTTAATAATATCTTTTGTTGGGAAACATTGCCCATCTCGGGGGGGGGGGGGGGGGGGGGGACCGAAGAAGGAATAAAGATTCTTCGATTCTTTGACGAGATAAAGGAGCATTCGTGGCCTTCTCGTGCTGCTCGTTCTCCCGTCTCCTCTGTCTATCTCGTCGCAGAAGCAGCTGCTCCTTTCTCCTCTCCTCCTCTCCTTTCCTATGCTCTTCGTTGTGCTGCGAGCCACACAGACGGCCGACTGACCCACTGACCGAGTGACTGATTCCGTGCTTCGGGATTCCTCGACGCGGACAAGCGCCGGAGGAGCGTAACTCGAATCGAAGAGCCGCGGAGAGAAGTTAGCAGCGGAGGTCGATCTTGTTGGAGACAAGCAGGAAGAGGAGGAAAGCAGAGGAGAGGAGAGCAGAGCAGAGGCGAGGAGACGAGGGCAGCGCAGCACAGTCGTGTGGATGTTTGCTGGACGGTCTTGGATCTTGTAGCATTTGGTTTAGCAGGTGTAAATTTCTTCTGGAGCAATGCAATGCGTGCAGGCTAGTTTTAGGCTAGATTCGTGCAGCTGCTTGGAGGGTCAACACCACCGCGGGCCGGCGGGCTCTTCTGGATTTGTTGGGGCTTCTGCTTCGACAGCTTCTCCATCTTTTGTTGTGGTCGTGAAGCGGTCCCGAGGACGCCCTCAGGTTTCTGCCGTTGTGGGAGAGCGGGCTTCCAAAGGGTGAGTTATGACCGCAAACGCCATGGAGTGAAGTTTTTCCCAGGGCAGTAGATTGATGATTATAATTCTGCGTCCAGTTTCTCATATGATCGCGAACCATGGATTGGCTTTTCATTCATTAGGCTGCCGACTGTTGAGCATGCTTATCAATTGCTTATTTCTGAAAGTCCAGCGCTCGATGTTTGCTCTGTGAAAGTGCAGGCGTGCCACGTCGCTGCCGGATTCCTCTTATGGCCGACAATATGTCTGTAACAGTTTTGCGGAGCTCGGAAAGGATCATGATAGAGTCGGGAGTAAAGGCTATACTTTTAGTGAGCTGGCTAGCTTCGGAAGAGAACTCAAGGCCAACAGACAAAATTTTTCTACGAAGTACTTGAGAAGAAATGTTAGGAAGGAAAGAAGGGCTGGTGCAGTCGTCGAAGCCACTGTGGCTTCTAAACAGGAGATAGTGCAGGTTCATGGTTCAGGGGATAAATTTACAGACGAGGAGCGCGTAGGAGTGTTGTTGTTGAATCTGGGTGGTCCGGAGACGCTTGATGATGTCCAACCATTTCTCTACAATCTCTTCGCTGATCCTGTAAGTCTCTACTCTCGTTTTCTCAGTGATTTCTCAACCTATCCTGTTTTTCAGATGGGCAAATCAGTGGCACCAGAGCAGAATCGTTAGTTGAATTCAAGAATGAGAAGCTTACACTGTACACAATACCAAGGATGATTAAGCACCTCAAATCGCGGAAGGAAGTGTATTCGTATTAGTATTCAAATTAATCGCCCTTCACCAGGGGTTGGATTCGAAAGTGCTTAGATTCGAATTTTCCACATGTGAGAGCTATAAACAGGAGACCTCTGATGTCCGCACTTTTATATCAGGATATCATTCGGCTACCGCGTTTGTTCCGATTCTTGCAACGTCCCTTGGCGCAGTTCATCTCCACATTGAGAGCACCCAAAAGTACTGAAGCATACGCTTCAATCGGAGGAGGCTCTCCACTGAGAAGAATCACTGATGATCAGGTTAGTTTGTTGAACACTCTTTGGAAATTTAAGAAACGGAAAGAGAAATCGTCACACAATTTCTGTTTGCTAAAATTTGTAGTCCTTGTGAGGCCGCCTGGTGTACCTGGACTTATTACTTATATACTTACACGGTCCTGAGTAAATGGACCTGGGATGCACGATTTAGTTACACTGAATTTTAGTACTTTTAGAGGACAGTACTTTCAGTTACTGTGACAAATTTTTCCATGTTCTTGTCCTAAGAGCATGACTTCGCCTCAGTAAGATGGGCTGGATAATTGATCTAACTGAACTATCTGCTGTGTTGAATTCCGAATTTAATGCGAACCAATCGCATCGCATCCAATCGCATTAAATTTATCTTCAGTTGTAACTGAAAGAACCAAAGATAACGCAGACAGAGCTGGGCGCCATAAGTTAGGAGTAAGGAGGCCAAAACTAAAAGTGCCTGACACTGTGCAGTTATCGAAATGAATAGTTACAAAATATGGAAGTTAACATCTGCTCAGGACTAAATATCACTTGTCAAACCTTTGACTGTCTGGTACAGGCCGAGGCGCTTGCGAGAGCTCTGGAAGAGAAAAATCTACCTGCTCGTGTATATGTAGGCATGCGATACTGGCATCCTTTTACTGAAGAAGCAATAGAGCAGGTAAGTGAAAAAGGTGCAGAAGGCCTCAGATTCCGTTAGTAAATTTGTTGGAAGTTCCGTAGCCAGATTTCTTTTGTCCAGTGTTTTGTTCGGGTGGATTGACAATAGGACGTTTGGGGTGATGCAGATCAAGGCAGACGGAATAACCAGACTCGTAGTCCTCCCTCTGTACCCTCAGTTTTCTATTTCAACAAGTGGTTCTAGCCTTCGCCTTCTCGAAAGCATTTTCAGGTTTGTAAGCTCATCGATGATGGTGGTTAACACTACACTTACTAGTCAAAGTTGCTGTCCTGCTACGTCAAGCAAAGTCTGTTCGAGGTAGTGTGTGATGGAGAAAGGATAAAGAGGATGATTCTACAGTTTATCAACAGTAATAGGTAGGCTCAAGACGAAAGAAACTTGCAATTGTCGATAATGGCTTATCCAAGTGAGGCGAAGTCTCTAAGGTCATTTTACAAATATTGCAGAGAAGACGAGTACTTGGTGAACATGCAGCACACAGTTATACCCTCTTGGTATCAACGCGAAGGATACGTCCAGTCCATGGCTTCACTTATAGAGAAAGAGTTAGCAAAGTTTGAACATCCTGATGAAGTAAGTGGATCATTTTACAATTAGTCGTATCACTGATGGATTTCAGGCCAATATCCTTTCAGCTCTGGACTCGTCGTTTACTTCACGGTTTGGCTGTAGGCTAAGTTCAGACAGCTGTTTGCAAGTACTGATCCGACCTGGCGGAAATTTAGGTCAATATATTTTTCAGCGCACATGGTGTCCCTGTCGCATATGTTGAAGAAGCTGGTGATCCCTATAAGGCAGAGATGGAGGAATGTGTTGAACTTATCATGCGTGAGGTCAAGGCGAGAGGGGTTGTGAGCAAACACACTCTAGCTTACCAGGTACTCAAATCGAAAGTGCATCAGAGTTGAGATTCATCACACTCTTGTAATTTTGAGATTTAGAAATTCTCTTTCCGTTTTGAACGTCAATTGCAATGCCTTGTATCTACAGAGCCGGGTAGGACCTGTCGAATGGTTGAAACCTTACACAGATACTACAATTGTGGAGCTAGGGAAGAAAGGTGTGAAAAGCCTTTTAGCTGTTCCAATCAGGTGACTAATCAAACTTCTTCAATTTCCCTCAGCTGACATGCTCTCTTTTGTATGTGTTGTTCTTTATCGGCTTCCACTTGTGTTCATCATTACTCTGCACAATGCGTTGTGTACAGGAGTTTCAAGTGAAGAATGTTAATCACTACATTTCTTGTAAATATCAGTAGAGCTGCTTTCTCAAGGATCAAGTCGTTGCTCATCTTGCAGCTTTGTCAGCGAACACATCGAAACCTTGGAAGAAATAGACATGGAGTACAGGGAACTGGCTCTCGAATCAGGAATTGTTAACTGGGGTCGCGTGCCAGCTTTGGGTTGTGATCCCACCTTCATTGCTGACTTGGCTGATGCCGTGCTTGAAGCTCTACCTTACGTGGGGGCTATGGCTGTATCTAATCTTGAAGCTCGCCAGGTGGGTGTCATGTGCTTGCAGTCGACCAGTATCTCTGATTGTGCCCTTTACAGGGGAGACTTATGTTATTTGTAGGGTTTCGATGTATTATTGGCCCTTTGGATGTAATTGGTCACTTCCTATTAATGACTAATCTGTCATTTATAAGGGAACCTCCACTATAATTGGCTGGTTTCGAATGTGATCTTCTTATACTATTTGATCACCATAGATGATTCTTTGAGGGTCAACCCGATTGATCCTTTCAGTAGACTAAAAAATTGGAGTACTGAAGACATATCACCCTCCAAAGCATAGAAATGTGACCTGCGTCAGCCTCTACGTCAGATATTAAGTAGCGGAGGGTTACATGCAAAAGTAAAACGCTATACTCTAGAAGTAGATACTTCTTAGCCAATGAAGTATGAATTGGTAATTCTTGTATGAGATGCTTCTTACAAATGACACAGCAACACATGTTAATGTTATAGACAGGTTGTACTTGTGTGAACAGATCAGCAATCCAGATAATAAATAAAATGTTAAATATGCTTCCTCACGGGAGGCTTCTTTAATTATCAGCTTCTCTTTTCACATCCATGTCGTTTAGTTAGAATATTGTTTGGAAATTGCTTATGGGAGGTCGTTTTATTATGCAGTCACTGGTGCCCTTGGGAAAAGTAGAGGAACTGTTGGCCACATATGATACACAGCGCAGAGAGCTACCGGCACCTGTGGCGGTATGGGAGTGGGGCTGGACGAAGAGTGCAGAAACTTGGAATGGACGTGCAGCTATGCTGGCAGTGTTGGGTTTGTTGGTACTGGAGGTGACAACTGGCCAAGGAGTTCTGCATCAGTGGGGAATCTTGCCTCTCTTTCGGTAGGTCAACGTATATCTCGTCAACCACGGGAAAGAACTTCTTAGGCGTAGGTCTTTAATGAAAGGAAAGGAATCATGTACAATCATTACTTGTCCATTTATCACGCTATGAAGCAGTAGAAGTCACTCAAGTGGAACGCTCATGCCAACGTGGTCAAATTTGGACTACATCTGGAAGCTGCAGCGATTATTCTGCAAATCAGCTCTCTAATGCTGATTGTACTGAAGTAGGTTTAGGTCAAATGTATCATGCTGTTGAGGAAGGAAATTTCTCATTGTTCTCGTGCTGGTAGGATGTCTGTAATACCTGCGTACAAAAGTTTTGGCATCGGACCTCATGACGTCACGTCTCCTGACTGGAAATTATGTAGATTAACTACTAGTCACACCATCCGGTGGGGCCGTGTTCATGACGAACATTCCTTTGATTATATAAGTTGCAACATTTTTTTTCCCCAGAAGTAATCTCTTTAAGGTGGCCTCATGTGTCGAGGATCAAGCGCCTGCAGTTCGCCAAAGAGTGGTAGTGGGAATATTCATTCCCTCTAGATACGGACTGCCACGGAGATTATATATAAAAGAATTGCCTATCTCTGACTGCTGCAAGTCCATAGCAACAACAGTACAATGGGGAGCCCATAGTAGCTCTCGAGAATTTATTCCTTTGGTCTTGAGATAAAATCCTGATGCTGTCTATCTTCTCTTCACGCTACGGTAGTCTAACAAAAAAAAAGAAAAAATGCCCTTAATGCAGGAATGATTTCTTAGTAAAACAAGAGATAAAATTCGTCACACTAGTTGCGTGAAAAGATAATCATCTGTGAGGATGACTATCAGTCGTTCTGTGTAACGTTGTAGATCATCACTTGACTATCGAAGTCAATTATCAGTTAAGCAGAAATTCTTGATGACAAGTCGAGTCTGCTGAAGTGCCCCAGATGGCCCGATGCAAATATGGTATGTCCAGGAAAACCGGTTATATGGTGTATTTAATCCGACATGATTGATATATATAGATTTCTAATTCTGACCGGACACTAAAACTTCTTCTCGAAAGTTGAATTCAACCCAACTTTTAGCTCAACTTCACATATTTTGTTTTCAGCTTTAGTAAGCATGTCACGAAAGAATGAGACCAAACCTTTGTCTACAAAGTACACTATATGTAAATTTTTGTTCGCACGTGCAGTAATCGAAGTATTTGTTTCATTTTTTTGAATTTATACATGGATTGAATCAACATCCTTACCAATCTCTCTCTGCATCCATTTCATTGTATTCCAAAAGTGTTGCATGTAGAATATTCCACCAATTATTCACTGAATTAACGTAAAAATCTTTACTTGAACTGAAAAAGCCAACTCCAAATACACACAAGAGATATGTCGGAATGTAATTTGAAATAATATTAATACTTTGTTGATATTATCTTCGTGTAATCAGCTTATTGATCATTCACTACTCAAATATTTTGTTGCAATGATTTTAATCTTTTATTAATTTGATCTCATTTCAATTTGATATCATAGATGCATACTAATCTTGCTTTTTTTAATTATTAAAGTTTTAAATGGAAATTATTTTTTTGTGTGATTGATGCTTCAATTTCATTAGTTTTAATCATTAGATTCAAAAAATCCAATGAAGCAATGATCACAAATTTTAAAATCATAAGGATTTGATTAAAATATTAATTGTACTTAAATATCACGTATATGTTGATTTCACTAGGATTGTTATTTTAAATATTTAACGGATCCGCTAAATATTTGGCGGATCATTTCGCCAATTTGAACTTGGACGACCGCCAACGGTGTTCAATGTTGTTTCAGTTGTGAAATGTTCACAATGAGAGGAATTATGTACTATTCTACTACAATGAACGAAATCTACTACAAAAGATTTCTAAACTTCACTGCATATGAACGATTTCTACTATAGAAGAATTCTAAGATTTATGTACTCTATTGTATATCTACTATTCGAAGAGTTCCATGTATCAATCGAAGCAATTTTTCTCGTTTGAGAAATGTTGGTAACCAATTCTGCTTGGAAATATGTGATACTACATGTAGTATTTGCAAAATTGAATGCTCTCTAGATTATAGTAGTGGTTATAATCAATGCTATTTTCAACTCATTCATGATCTTGAAAACTCGTGAAAAATAAATTGAGAACCACAAGTTCAACCTCAGAAATTTTAGCTCGTCGAAGAGCCCAAGATTCCAATCAAAACTGAATTTTTCCCATTTTAATTCCTCATATGACTCGGAATATCGCCACTCAAAGTGTTTGAATCACAACGAGCACTAACATCATCCCGGAATAGTCTTTGTATAATGTGCAAAATAATATAACTCCTGTACGATATGCTTCATCGCTTACTTAAGAACACACTTACTTAACTTATGCTCCGAGTATAAAATCAAAATATCCAAGTATTTTTGGAAACTATCTTGCTAGACGTACATTTGATGTCTGTCAAGAAAAAGTAGGAGATAGTAACGAGAGCATTCTACATTTGACACATTCAATTTCTACACAGTATAATTGAAATCATGATTCAACCTCATTAGAAGCATAGAAAAAAAACATGATTCTAAACCCGCAAGTTGTGAACTCTCTTGCTAGACGTATATTTGATGTCCGTCAAGAATAAGTAGTAGATAGTAACAAGAGCATTCTACATTTGACGTATTCAATCTTCTCATAGTATAATTAAAATCATGATTCAACCTCATTGGAAGCATAGAAAAAAAGCGTGATTCTAAACCTGCAAGCTGTGAACAGATACTTTCGATAAATATGATAGTCATTAAAGCTCCACGATGTCACTATTGAACCATCTCATGTCAGTGTTGCCAATAGTGACGTATGATTTATATTCGATAGATTTAGAAACTAATGGTTCCACACTTTCATGTCACTCATGGTAGTTGACACTATTGGGAGGTTTAACTTTGTATGAGAGAAGTACTAGAAGGATACCTAACAAAGTATTCTCATTAAACTAGAACTAAACTGTGGCCAAAACATGATAGAGGAATATATATATACATATAACTAAAATTTGTTAGTTAACTTTAATTGTGCTCCTTGCGCAAAACGTGCATAGTAGTGTAATGTCTCTTAAAGCTATCCAAAAGAATGATTTTGGTCAACGCGTCAGCTGTATTAAATTTACGATTAATGTTGACTAGCATGTCTGATAAAATTATACTCGTTGTTGATGTGTTTCAATCTACTCCTCATGATTTGAATTGCAGCAAGATGTAATGCATTCTGGCTATCAAAGTGAAGATTGACAAACTTCTGTTTCAATCACATCTTAGTGATAAATTTATCCAATCAGATAGTTTCCTTTGTTGACTCTCTTACCGCTCTATACTCAACTTTTGTTTTAGATTAAGTCATACACTCTACAAGATAGATTTTTTACTAATGCATTCACACTCAACTGTAAATTCAATACAATTGTAGATTTGCTCTGTTCTAGATCTTTTCCATAATCAGCATGAGTGTACTCTAACAAAGATTTGTAAACCAATTATTTTAGTACATTGATTTCATTGTCACCAATATTACGTCACCAACGCATCGTGCCGATTTGAACTACTACTATCTCATTTAGCAAGTAAGAAATCTACTTTATTCAACTACAATGGTTGTCTTGGATTCAAATTGTCAACCTAAACAAGAGTGTCATAATGTAAAGGAGAGCATAAACTCCACTCTTCATTCAATGCTCCATCACAAAAATTTAAGCCAAGCTCAAAAATTTCCAAAGTAAATGAAATTGATCTAGAAAAAAACAAGAAAGACAAAAAAAAACCTTGATTTTGTTTTGTTTTTTTTTTTTTCAAGCAAGCAAACTTGGGTCTAGTTTCTGAAATCTCCAAATACTAACTTGATAAACAAGCAAACCAACGACAAAATTCAATACCAATAGAGTTTTACTTCTTAAGCCTAGTGCTGAAATGAACATGGACACAATCTTCAAGATCATCGGTACAAATTGCACAATTTCAGACAATTGTGGCTGAGTATTATACTTTTTGAATTTTGTCCATCTTTTCTTAAACTTTTTGAAATCACTTCAAATCTTAAAGTGCTTGTTAGACGATTCTTCAATCTGATTATCTATACCTTGTCACATCAATCTTGCCATAATTTAAGTCAGATGCCAACAACTCGAGAAAATTTATTTCAATGATTCAGTAATCTAAACTTTTTGCCTTCAAAGCGCATTTGATGTGCAAAATAAAAAATGAGTTACAATGGAGGAGAACGTCCAAGAGACTCTTGATGAGAGTGAGCAAGAATGTCAACAAGCTAGGTTCAATTGACAAGTAGAATTCTACAACATTGTTTTGCTCATTTATGAGATTGTGATCATGGGTTGAAAAATTTCAAGACTTTTGAAATGAATCCAAACATGAATATTTTGTCATAGAAATTTAAACAAAAATCTGCTTTGCAAAGCCATATCCATAACAAGTTCTCTTGGCAGCTTTGTAACTTGTGTATAGATGGCAAAAATAATTATGTATAGTTCTCAGAAAGAAAGTTACTTATAACAAGCACTCTCATCAAGATCAAATTTTCGTACATGTGTATAGATGGCAAAAAAGAATAGTGTACATTTCTTCCAAAAAAATCCACAGATGAAATCATCATTTTTTTCTCATGTTCATGAGGTACACATTGTTCTGATATCAATTGTAACAAAAAATCAAAGTGAAGATACATACACAATAAAAAAACATGCACGTAAATTCAACAGCAAGAAAATAAATCTCTCAAGTAACATCCACGGAAATATGAGGGTTACTGTAAAAAGCTTAAACATTGTTAGAGGCAAGTTGTGGTATTGCCAAACTATATAGTTTGTAGCAAAAATTCCTAAACCTAGGAAAAAATTTAAATTCGAATTATTCTAACAAGAGTTATCCTTCCACTTGAATTCTCACCAAAATCACCTTGACAATAGATCTATTATATAGTGATTATGTGTGTTCTATGAACATTTGATGTAAAGAAGTAGTATGTTATGTATTTGCACAACATAACACAATATAGAATTGTCATGATTAAAAATTTCATATTATACTATATGTGAAAAAAATTGATACTAAACTGAAAGCTAATTATATTGGATTTATTCACTTTCAGAATATCATAAAAATGTTAGTAAACTTCTTGGATTATACATGTTCTTGTTGATTTTGTTGTGTGTTGAAGCATACATGTATGCATAGGTGTATGTTGCATCATAAATGTTAAACTAATGATGGAAAATGTATGCGTGAGGAGATGGATAGAAGAGTGATGGTTGAGTTTAGTGATTTCAGTAAAAGATCTAGAAGAATTGGGAATGTGATGCAATGACAACCATAAAGTTGTCATAAATTTAGCTGTTGAAATTTAGTAGTTGTAGCTCCTATTGATAGGGGATGAACAAGGATGAACTTCACTCTCTTGATGTTTCTCTACCTTTTTGATATACTACTTTTTCGATTGTTTCGTTTGTTCTATAGTAATCCGTTGACATTGCCGTTTCTTGATGCCCTTGGATGTGATTTTGTGGACCCTTGTGGCAAGTGCAGCAGACTCAGTTGGTACATCGAAAGAGAACAAAGACAGGAATTACGAGTACTTTCTTTTCTTGGTTGCTGCTGGTGATGATATGCAGTAGTCATTTTGTGATTTTGTACTTTAAATACAATAAAGTCTGGCCCTATTGTAATAAAATTTATCCTTCCTCGAGGTCACATGAAATAGAATGGTGGTTGGGTTACTGGTGGTTGAGTTTGTTCCTTCTGAAGGAGCTGTCCAGGACGTAGCTTTATTGTAGACTGTAGACTCCGAAGAACTACATATAGTAGTCTCTCACTAGCTCAATTAGAGCTTTCCTTGTGGATGGTTGAATGTGTTGTCTTCACACACGTCTGTCCATCCGATTCCATTCGCATCCCATTCAAAACTCACGTTTGCCTTGTTTGCCTTTTCTTCTGTGAAGCTTCTTCTTCAGACTCTCTGGGTTCTGTATTTTCAATCTCGCGGATATTGCAACAAATATCTGCAGCTACGATATGAAGAGATTAAACTCCATCGACGACTGCGATATTGAACTTCTTTCCGGATCAACAAGCGCCGTCACCTCACTTCAGCATTCTGATCCTTAG